CGGCCCGCAGCTGCGGCCGCTCACCTGCGCCGCTTGGGGAAATGGGCGGGAAGGACAGGTGGCGCTCACCTGGAGCACCGCGCCCCCGCCGGCCTCGCCCACCGGACGCCTTCGCGCTCCTCCTCTCAAAGCACCCCGCGCGACCCCGCCCGCCTCCTCGCTGCTTTCCGGTTGCTTCCTTTGCACCCAGCTCAGCGAAACTGCCGAGAAACTTTGGACCAGGGTTACGGTGTTCAGTGGAGTTCAGCATTTCCGACCAGACTCTTTGCTGGCCGTCCTCGGATCTCGGCCCTGGGGGCACCCCCCGGTTGTCTTCAGGGTCCTAACAACTGGCAGGAGCCGGCTGGGCTCTTCTGCCCCTCAGGCGGCTTTCCGGCCATGCGTCCTAGAGCAGCGGCTCTCGACCTCCGCAACTTTAAGAGAGGTGGACTTCAACCCCCAGAAGTCCCCAGCCAGCCAAGAACCAGTGCAACTTTACGCGAAAATTACGCTGATGCAGGGCCACTTATAGTTATGCCCATCTATTATTATAACTATTCTAATTTTATTCCCAGTAAAGAAGACAGCATTCTTTCCCGTGCCAGTTGCTGAGGAGGGCAGATGCAAGGCGGCGGCCGAGTTTGTTCTCAGGCAGAAAACTGAACTACGCAACCCCTCAGTCTGATTCTGCGTGGCTCCTCATAGGTGTTTAAGCTCTTAATGCTTTCATTAATGCTTAATGCTAACCAGTGAGTCTGCAGAAATACGCTGAACGAACGAACAAACAAAATAAATAAATAAAAGGCCTTGTCTTTTCCCGACCTGAGTAGATGCAGATTTTTTCGAACTACGCGTGTCACACTTCAGATCGGCTGGATTTGAATGCACACTACCTGAGACTACCTTTAAAGAGCACCTGGGAACAAATATAGAGCAGTGTCCCGACATGCCTGGACAGAAAGTTGCCCGGCACACAGGAAGCCCTTTCGTATCACGCCGCCTTCGGCCGTAGCTCGTTCACCCCCGACTGAATGGGAGGCGGATGATGATTTAGAGCCCTAAGTGGGCTCCGGTCGGGATAGCCGAAGGGTCGTTCCATCAATTGCTTTTGAAAGTGGACTGGAAAATACCGGCGCACAGACTAGTGCAGCGCTTGAGGCGTAGGAAAACGGAGCTTCAGCGGCGCTAAGGAGCAGCTTTATTCTCCCAATGAAGATCTTACGCTGGATTCCAAGTCTGCAGGCGGGGGCTGTTTCTATGTATTAGTCGTAAGCACTCATTTACATTGGCTTAGGCCTCATTACCGCCAAGTAAGATGCAAGTGGGTATCATGGGCTACTCTGTGGCGATAGCTATTATGCTCACGATGGGGACTCTTCACTGAGGATTTCTGGTTCTTCCCGCAACGAAGCGCTTCCTCCTGCGCTTTT